CATTAATGTAGATGAGAAAGAGGAGAGGGCCAAGTATGCTGCCCTGAGGAACACCAATGTTGATGGGTAGGGTGGGAGAAATTGTATTATTCACAGAAACATATTGGAGCCTGTCAGTAAGGTAGGACTCGAGGTATTGTAGGGAGTGCCCTCTGACTCCATAATGATGTAATTTAAGAAGAAGGTTATGGTGGTTGACAGTATCAAAAGCTTTACGCAGGTCCACAAATAACCCAACAGGGAGCTCCTTTTTATCAAGGGCTGTATGAATCGAGTTAAGCATACTAATGAGTGCATCGTTAGTGCTTTTTTTGGGTCTGAAGCCATATTGGCAAGGGCTAAGTATATTGAGTTTGGCTAGATATGAGTAAAGCTGCTTGTATATAAGTTTTTCAAAAATTTTTGACAAGTTTGGCAGGATTGATATAGGTCTGTAGTTGTTAACATCTGTGGGATCACCACATTTGTGGACAGGCGTTACTCTCGCTTTTTTTAGAATATCTGGAAAGGTTTGGAGTTCAAGTGACTTGTTGAAGAGCAAAGCAATAGCAGGGGCTAAAGATCTGGAGGCTTTTTTGTATATTAAAGTTGGTATCTCCTCAAGGGCACTAGACTTGGTTTTAAGGGAAAGGATTATCTCATTGACGTCAGTGGAATTAATAGGCTTTAGGTACAGAGACTGTGGATAGTTACCTGTAAGATAGTCCTTAATGTCAGTACTGGAAGATGGAATATCATTTGCAAGGGATGAACCAATGGAAGAGAAGAACCTATTGAACTCAATAGCAGAATCAGAGGCTGAAAGCTGACCATCGTTATTAGACAGGAGAGTCGGTTTGTTATTTAAAGATTTCTTTGATCCCAATATTTGTGAAATTGTGCTCCAAGTTTGTTTAATGTTGCTATCTAGCGGCCATCGCCTTCGTCTGCAAGCTACACGGTAGGAGGGACCCAACTCGGCAGTTCCTGGTCACCCAACTCCTCAAAGGGGCACGTAACTCCGCACAGCGGGCCCCTGCACGGCGTCTCCCTGTGACGAGGAGCCTCCTGCATCGCCTGCGGCGGGCACTGGGAGGCGTATGTAACACTGCCTATGAGAAGTCTTGCTACAGGGCGCTCTTCTCCCTGGCTTTCCACGCCTGCCTACGCCCGGGTGAGGCGGTCTACGTGGAGCATGGACGACACACGCTCAACCTTGAGCAGGTATCACTTACGACGGCAGGAATAGATATCGTCTTCAACACCTACAAGCACAGCGCAGGCCGCACGCCCACCCTCTCCCTGAGAGCGAACCCTTCCAGCAAGTACTGCCCGGTCCGGGCTCTGTCTAAATACTTTAATTACAGGGGCGTGGGCCCGGGGCCCATATTCAAACACGCCGCAGGCGCTCCTGTCACCAGGCGAGATTTCTCCAGGATCCTACGCGCTGCCCTCTAGGCGCTAGGCTTGCCTCCAGATGACTACGCGCCGCATTCCTTCCGTATCGGCAGGGCCATCCAGCTGTCTCGGGACGGGCTTGCCACATCAGAAATAATGGCAGTCGGCAGGTGGAAGAGTAGTGCTTTCACATCCTACGTCAGACGGGACGTTGTTGCTCTGCCACTTTGAGTGCCTCATGCGGCCAGCTGGCACTCGCCCTTCGGGGGGGTGTGTTATGTGGTCTCTCACTTATTAGTTACTCTCTGTGTCCTGCCTGTTATATCCTAGTGTTATATAATTACTCCACATTTGCACTCGGCCTTAATTCTAGTACCAGTTAAGCTTTAGGTTTCTGCAGAATTAGTTTCCATGTCACTATAGGCTAAGGTCTCATACTTACTACGGGTGTACCTTTTAAGTTATATCTAGTCCTCGGACTTGGAATTGTTACTGTTAATTCTTACTTTATATATTTACATGTTCTGCAGAATTTATTCTTCAATAAACTTTAAAGCCCCATACTGCCAGTATCTTTCTCCCCCTGATCAGAAAATGAAGGTTGTGTCGTCAGCAAATAAAATTGGTTTGAGGTGTTGGGAGGCATTTGGAAGGTCATTAATGTAGATGAGAAAGAGGAGAGGGCCAAGTATGCTGCCCTGAGGAACACCAATGTTGATGGGTAGGGTGGGAGAAATTGTATTATTCACAGAAACATACTGGAGCCTGTCAGTAAGATAAGATTTGAGGTATTGCAGGGAGTGACCTCTGACTCCATAATGATGTAATTTAAGAAGAAGGTTTTGGTGGTTGACAGTGTCAAAAGCCTTACGCAGGTCCACAAATAACCCAACAGGAAACTCCTTTTTATCAAGAGCTGCGTGAATTAAGTTAATCATACTAATAAGTGCATCGTTAGTGCTTTTTTTGGGTCTGAAGCCATATTGACAAGAGCTAAGTATATTGTGTTTGGCTCGAAAAGAGTAAAGCTGCTTGTAGATTAGTTTTTCGAATATTTTTGACAAGTTAGGCAGGATTGATATAGGTCTGTAGTTGTTAACATCTGTGAGATCACCACATTTGTGGACAGGGGTTACTCTTGCCTTTTTTAGAATGTCTGGAAAGGTTTGGAGTTCAAGTGACTTGTTGAAGAGCAATGCAATAGCAGGGGCTAAAGATCTGGAGGCTTTTTTGTAAATTAAAGTTGGTATCTCCTCGAGGGCACTAGACTTGGGTTTAAGGGAAAGGATTATCTCATTGACATCAGTGGAACTAGTAGGCTTTAGGTACAGAGACTGTGGATAGTTACCTGTAAGATAGTCCTTAACATCAGTACAGGAAGATGGAATATCATTTGCAAGGGATAACCCAATGGAAGAGAAGAACCTATTGAACTCAATAGCAGAATCAGAGGCTGAAAGCTGACCAGCGTTATTGGAAAGGAGTGTTGGTTTGTTATTTAATATCTTCTTTGATCCCAATATTTGAGAAATTGTGCTCCAAGTTTTTTTAATGTTGCTCTTTATTTGGGTAAATTTATCTTCATAGTATTTAGTTTTGGCTCGTCTAATTATTTTAGATAGCAATAACGAGTAATTCTTTGAGAATTCTTTGGAGACTGTTCCTAGCCTATACTTCTTCTCAAGGTCGTGTTTTTTGTTAATAGATTTAAGTATTCCCTTTGTAAGCCAAGGATTGTTAAGCCTTTTGCTTGTGACTTGTTTTGTAAGCATAGGACAGTGGGTGTTATAAAGGCTAAGAGTTGTTTGTAGAAAAGATTGCACTGCTAGGTTGATGTCCCCTATGTTACCTAACCCGGACTCCCAGTTGACATTATCAGCAGCAGTTATAAAATTGTTTATAGCAGTTTCATTGTGCAGCCTAAAGCTTAACTCCCTTGTCTCTAGAGGTGGTTTGCTAATGTTAGTTAAGAGAAATGTGGGGTAATGGTCTGTAGTGCTATCGGTGATTATACCTGAAGTAAGCGGAGAGGTTATGTTGGTCCAGATGTGATCTAGAGTCGTAGCAGTACTATCAGTGATTCTAGTTGGTCTAGTGATTAAGGGTATGAGGAAGCAGGAATTCATACAGTTGAGGAAGCTAACAGCAGTAGGGTGTTCAGGCTCGCAGAGGTCAATATTAAAGTCCCCTGCGATAATTAGATGGTTTTTGTTCAGTCTGTTATCTAGTATTAGATTTCTAAGGTTTGAGTTGAATATTCAGACACATCAGTGTTAGGAATTCTATAGACTGCACCCACAGACAGGAGAGACTCGGCACCCTTGACTCTGAAACTGGCGAAGATATACTCCCCACAGCAGTCTTTAGTTCTAATTATTTTTAAGCATGTTAGTTCTTGGTGGTAGTAAAGAGCAGTACCACCACCTCTCTGCATTTGACGACAGTTGTGAATTGCCGAGTAGTTAGGCATGTTAAAGAGTTGAGTAGTATCCTCTTTCAACCACGTTTCAGTAAGTATAATAAAAGAGAATTTGTTGTCAATAGTTTCAATCAAGGCACTAACATCATCGAAGTGTAATATATATAAATATAAATATATATAAAAAATTTGACAAATGATAATTGTAAAGTAAAATAATCTTAAAGATAATAAATTTTATTTAGCTTAGTTTTTAACCTATAATTAGTATGAACTTAATTAAGAGAACAAAATGAGATCAATAATTGATTTCAATAAATGACATAAATCAATACAATTAAATTTAAAATTTAAATGGAATAGGGTAAGATTAGATTTAAGAATAAAATTTTACAATGAAGCTGAGGTAGATGCTTGCATAAGTGCATGGAGACTTGACGGATTATTTAGGAAATTATATCAATGAGAGAACATTGGGTAAATGGTAAGGCAGAGACAGCACCTTGGACAAAGTTAGATTAAGTTAGGTTAGGCTCAGGCACTGAAATAGTTATTTTAAGTACTGGCATTGGTCGGGTTCAGGTTTTCAGTTCTATGTTTCAGTTCTATGTTTTCAGTTCTATGTTTCAGTTCAGTTCTTATGTTCTAAACGCTTTGCGTAATAGTGGCTTTAGGCATTGTATGTACTAACTCTATCTATAAATCCATCAATGTTTTGTATCACACCTTGTATGTATTTACTTTACCTGAATAAACATTTGAATTTGAATTTGTTTAAATTTTGCTACAAATTATACCTACTTAAAATTATCTTTTAGCTTAAAGATCCGCTCGAAATTTAATGTGTGTTAGTGGCTTTGCAAGAATGTAAAAACATCAATGCTATGTACTCTTATAAACCCAATGTACCTTCATGTATAAATAAATATATAAACAGCTTTGGCTATTGCGCGAGCTTTGATCCAAAGAAAACGATTGTTAGGAGAGATTGCCAAGCGCTCGAACTATCACAACAACTGCAAGAATTGTGCTTTAGTTGCCCCTAACCCTCTACATCAACAAAACCCTGCTGGCCATTGTTACGAAGCTACATCTCGGGAATTGAAGAGTAAATATGACGAGTCACTATATTTCTATTTCACTTCCGACAATTAGACAACAATAATGAACATAAGGGCCCTGTAGTGCAGTTGGGATTGTTCTTGAATCGCAATAGGGGATCCAGTGTTCGGTCCTCAGTTGGGACACAAATGGTTCGGCACATTTCCTTCATCATCTTTGCGATACGATACGTGCAGTTTGCATGAAGGCTTATCTTCCTGATGACTGCACGAGTGGTGATGTTGAAAGATGTATCACTCACAGTGGCGCATCAATGTTATAAGTAGGCAGAGTTTGAAAGTTATTGAGGTGGTCTATTTGTGCGAGGGTGATGACAAATAAACACATGAGCGGAATTTGTCACAGGACGGGAAAGGCGTGGGGTTGTTTTGCTGGTGATAGTGAAGTGCTGCTATTCTATAAGAAGTGTGTGGTTTAGTCAAGAGACTGATTTTGAGAGGCGAAGCATGTTTGGGAGTTTGTCGCAATTCAGAGAGGTTAGGGTAGGTTATGTTAGATTATGTTAAGTAACGTGGGGTTAGTGTGTATATAGTTATGGGTTAGGTTAGGATGTCATATACCGGATCTTTATGTCTGGGATGTGATTGCATCAATCTTCCTTGATGTGCGAGTAGTACAGCATGTTGATTATCCAGAAGTGGTTGGGGGATGTGTAGTGGGAGAGTGTGGTTTAATTGTTTTTTCAGTCGAAGTGCTAGGTCGCTGGGAGGTTTGTACATCTGGGGATTTCTCGATGCCTCTGTTCACGTAGTGGTAAATAGGTCTCTGGGAGTTGGGCAACAGTTGTGGGGTTGCATCCTGGGGAGGGTCTGTAGTTTGACCTCGATGGTGGACATTGATACTAGCCTAAATTATACATGTTACATAAAGTACACACAAAACAGATACATAATACATATAAACTACACATAATATGTATACATAAAGTACACATAATTATGTGCGTACAGACTTCCTGTCACGAACAGGAAAGGTTCCATTAGTACAGTCATGTTCGTTCTCAACTCACAATCAAGAATTCCAGGTTTGAATCTCAGGTGGGACTGAAATGGCATTTCCTATCACCTAATGCACTTGTTCACCTAGCAGTAAGTAGGTACTCAGGAGTTAGTCAGCTTGTTGTGGGGTTACATCCTGGGCATGATCAGTAATATGACTTTGGGGGACCCCGATATAAGCAACAGTCTAATGTCTATAAGATATAAGACTAACATGAATGCTAACATGTATGTACACTGGCTGCCTGTACCCTAACACATTGAATTATTATTATAACACTGGATATTATAACTTAATTAGGCCTAATGTTACATAAAAAGTCTGTTATTCTGTCCAAAACACTGCATGTTATTAGCTTGGTATGAATGTAATTTGCATATTTACATTGACACATTGTTACTTGTACATGTAAAGAATATAAAAACATCAGTGCTATCTTCTATCATAAACCCAATGTATGTTCTTTTATATATAAATAATAAATAAAAAATATAGATGAGTGAGGGCAAATATGAGCACCACAGAGAGTGGAGGTGAGTGAGGCCGGGGAAGTGAGCACCACAGAGAAGGGAGGTGAGTGAGGGTGGAGAAGTGAGCACCACAGGGAGTGGAGGTGAGTGAGGGTGGGGAAGTGAGCACTACAGAGAGTGACAGTGAGTGAGGGTGGGGAAGTGAGCACCACAATAAGTGGAAGTGAGTGAGGGTGGGGAAGCGAGCACCACAGAGTGGAAGTGAGTGAGGGTGGGGAAGAGAGCACCACAGAGAGTGATGGTGAGTAAGGGCAGGGAAGCGAGCACCACAGAGAGTGCTGGTGAGAGAGGGTTGGGAAGCGAGCACCACAATAAGTGGAAGTGAGCGAGGGTGGGGAAGCAAGCACCACAGAGAGTGATGGTGAGTGAGGGCTTGGAAGCGAGCACCACAACACTGCGCCTCTCCACTTCCCGGCCCGGCCCACCTTTCTCACTCAACAAACTGCATATATTATATCATATTAAGAGAAGAGTTCAGGAGCCTCATATTGCACTCATTTCCATCCTGAAATCATATAAATTATTCAGGTACTTGAAAGACATATTTTGTGGATACTTTCTCTATCACAACCCTTAAAACAAACCTACAAAATTCTCTAATCTTATCCAGTCGTCACCTTCATAATAACATTAACAAAACTTGTGTTATTCATAAAATATATCATAAGAACATATTAGAGTAGATTATTTGTATGTGGGGATGTTGGATGTATAGTGTCACCATAATGAGTCACTATAACGTGTTACCATAATGTGCCACTATATGTGCTGCGGCAGTGGTCCCGCCTTCGGCTGTTCATGAGGGGGTCCCGGGTTGCTCGAGCAGTTGTGCGGGAATCTGAACTTCAACGTGCTGGCCTGCCCGCGGGGTCGGGTTTGGCTTCGGCGTCTGGTTCCTTCGGAGACTCCCCTTCTGCCTCTCTTGCTATCGTTGGGTTCGTTCCTCCTGGGATCTTGTGTTGGTGCTGCATCACCAGCTTCCTCTTTAGGGTTTTCAGGGTTCCGTGCCTTGGCACCTCCCTGAGCCTTCGCTCGATGTGTTCATGGACAGGTCATCTCTCGGCTGGGGCTTTGTGACCAGTGCTCACCAGGTCAGCCGGGGATGGTGGGGTCTGTCCGTCCGTCGGGCTCACAGCATGGTTTGGGAGTTCGTGGCTGTCTGGTTTGCGCTTCGGAGCATTTGGGTCACTCGGTGCTCTACCATTCTGCTCCATTCGGACTGTTCTCTGGTGGTTCTTTGCTGGAACCGCAGAGTTTCTCTTAGGTGTTGACCTTTGGGTTTGGTTCCTTAGAGTGGCTCGTTTGCTGGACTCTGGGTTTGACTAACAGTGAGGTTCATGTCCGAGGTGTGTACTGCGTCCTGGCGGACAGCTGTCTTGGTTCATTCCTCTGTTCGCAGATTGGCCAGTCGTCGCAGACTTGTTTCGTTGGCTCTGCCGGATGTATGGACTTCTGGCCATGGACGTCTTCAAGTTGGTGTGCTCTAGGCGTCGCCCATTTTATGTGGCGCCCTTACCCGCCTGCTAGGCATTCACGGTGGATGCTTTTCGGCAGGACTGGTCGAGGTGGGGGTACTTGTTCCTCTTCTCCCGGTCCAGCTGTTGCTTAGGGTTCTAGCTCGGTTGGAGCTTTTTCCCACGAGAGTAGTCCTCATGGTTCTTTGGTGGCTGGCCCAGCTTATTTTCAGACGCTGCTTGATAGGTGGCCGAACCTGGGGCGTTTTCCCGTCGCTCCGCCTCTTTCGGCAGGTCAGATTGGTCCTGTATGTGACTGGTTCGACCTTCTCCTCGGCTCTTCGTGTCTGGTATTTTGACGCGGGTATCACCATCTCTGTGGTGATCAGGTGGCTTTGTTGACGGTGTCTCACCTGCAAGCTTCGTCTTTGCGACATTATGATGTTTCTGGTGTTTCTATGCACTTTTTCTTGCTCTTCGTAGGTTGTCTTCTCTTTCGCATCGGGTTGTCTTGGCCTTTCTTGGGTTTTCAGGACTACAATTATTTGATGTTTCTTACTGTCGCCTCGTTTTGTGTGGCGCTGGCGGAGCTGCTCCGGCTTGCGTTCGGGGTGGACGTCACATCTGCCCCGCTCCGTACGCTTTCTTGTGTTTTGTTTCACCTCCGGCCTGCTCATGTGTCGCCTGAGCCATCCTGGTCCTTGATCAGGGTGCCTTCTTATCTTCTCCTCAGTTTGTGGTAGCCCCTTCTGTTCAAGTTTCTGCTCTTTGGTACTGGTGGTAGGTTTGTACGTTTGCAGCCTTTCTCTGTCCTGGTGACAGTTGAGACGACGGCTTTCCGTAGGGGTTCTTGGGTTATTGATGATTGATTGGTTTGGCCGGGGGTGCGTCCTGTGTTGTCCGGTTGCGCTTTTTTCCGTTACCTGCGTACCGTGTCTGGGGATGCGCTTTGGGTTGATCCGGTTTCCCCTCGTTCCCTGTTTCAGGGCTCGGGTCTCCCAGGTCGTCCACAGAGTTTTTCCGTCTTTCAGCCTGCGGTCTGTCCTTGCGCCCGTGCTGTTTGGACGTTTGCAGCTTTTGCTGCTGTGTTGGTGACGTCTAGGGCTCATTTCGGGCGCAGGGATTTGAGGGTCGCACAGATTCTTGGCCGCCCATTCTTTATGTGCGTCTGCTCCTGTGCATTCTTGTTGCCTTGGGTTGCAGGTTGCAGCCTGTTGTCTCGGCTTCGCGTTGCGGAGTTTGTGGCGGCCGCCTCCCGGGTTAGCCCTTTCTTTTCCTTCTCTTTGGGTATGAAGCTCCAGGGAGCCGTAGGGGCTCCCCACAGAAAACCAGCGTTGAATGTAATGAAACGCTATTTTCTGGGTGAGCCCCAGAGGCTCCCTTCCACCGGTCGGTGTTTTTTTCGCGTAGGAGAAGCTTAGCTTCCAAACTGAAGCTAGGCAGCCGGCGAGGTAGGTCCGGGGGCTCCCCCCTCCCCCTCTCGGGGCGGGAGGGCTGCGCTGACGATCAGTGCGGCAGTAAAGTGTGATGTTTGCTTGTTTCCTTGGGATTGTAGGGAGTTTCTACCTCTCTGTTCGGACTTTTGTTTTAGTTTTTTACCATGTGGGGTTTGTTTTGTTATACCTACCTTTCTGGGTGTCTAACCCCAGTCGATGGCAGATAAGGAAAACCCCAACCACAAGGGGGTTTTCCAGGGCCATTGCTCCCTGAAACCTCTCTGAAGGGATCAGGTTCTGGCGCTGGTCCCTGGTAGGTCTGAACTCCTTAGCTAATGTCCCGGTCTAATATACCATACATTAGCCTGATAAGCTCCAGGGAGCCTCCGGGGCTCACCCAGAAAATGGTGTTTAATTACATTCAACGCTGGATTTTTTGGTATATTTAGAATGTGTCCCTGGAAATTCAGCTTGTTATCGATGAGGATACCAAGGAATTTACCATCAACTTTGTTACTAATTTGGATATTGTTTATTCTTAGATTAATTTCATTTGAGGATTTATTACCAAACAAAATATAGAAAGTTTTGTCAACGTTAAGGGTGAGTTTGTTAGCAGTTAGTCAGAGATGGACTTTATTTTGTTCAGTATTCACTGTGGCATTTAGAGCAAGAGGGTCAGGACTGGAGAAAATGAAGGTTGTGTCATCAGCAAATAAGATTGGTTTGAGGTGTTGAGAGGCATTTGGAAGGTCATTAATGCAGATGAGAAAGAGATGAGGGCCAAGTATGCTCCACTGTGGAACACCAATGTTTAGAGGTAGGGTAGGAGAAATGGAATTA